GTTGTTTGATCTGTGATTGTCAGATAGTGACCAAAGCTCAGATATTCCACAAGTTCCAAAGAACAGTATCTAAACCATTTATAATATTTCAGTATTCACTAAGAAATGACTTCAGGTGGAGTCTTACTTTTATATAATCAGGTGGACAATTGATTGCAAATATTTAAAAATCATTAGAAGGCTCATATTTTCTTAATTATTTCATAAGGTCTTATTAAGTATGTTGTATTTAATACTTATATATGTGAAGCTCATTATTATGGAATACATGACATAGAACAATAGTGCTAACTTTTTTGAGCTAGCATACTCTTCCCTGGATCCTTAATGGAAATTTATGCTACTTTACGTTTATTCCTTGCCAGCACCTTGGCACCTTGGTGTTTCTCTTATTGTACCTTGTATTATTATTTACTGTTTCAAGTCTTATAATACAACTTTAAAATAGTTAACACTACAGGAATTACAGTCAAGCTATCTTGTTCTGAACAAAACTCTGCCACTTGCTAAAAGAAAATTCTGGAATAGACATAGAAGTTTCTCATTGTTTTTTTCTCTATAGATAACATGGTACAGTTGAACTTGACATGTAAGATTCTTGTGTGAATTAAAGAATACACAATATGCATTTTTAAAAAGTTCTAATTTTGCATTGTTAGTCTCATATGATCATTAAGAATATAACATCCATGAGAAGGCCTCATCAATCTCTGGGGTCTTGGATAGTAGATCAGTGTTTACCATGGTGTATGAATGAACTTTGTGAGCCCATTCTATATGGAGGGAAACTCTCTCAATCTGGACACATGAGGAAGGGCCTAGGCCCTGCCCCAGATGAAGTGACAGACTCTGGAGATCTCCCATGGAGGGCCTCTCCCTCCCTAGGGAATGGTGTGGGGATTGGGCTGGGGACTTCAGGGGGCTGGGAAAGGGCCAAGGGAGGAGGGGTGGGAGAGGGAGCTAGGATCGACATGTGAAGCAAGCATGTTTCTAATTTAAATATAGAATATATTGAGAAAAAAGAGAATATAGCATTCTTTATGAAAGGGGCTGAGACCCTTCTAACTGGTATTTGGTTGATAACAGTGTTTTAACTTTGAGTTTATTTTTTATTATTGAGAATTTCACACATGTAGATGCTGAAATAGGATCATATCTACCCCATTTTACACTTTAGTCCTTCCTCTACTCCCACAAAAAATCCTCCTTACAGTCTCATATCTTTTCTCTTTATTTTTTTTATAAACTTCTAAGTCAGTTAGTGCTGACCACAAGTGCATGGGTTTGGGACTATTCACTGGTCTATGTTCATGCTACAAGTATAAATTTCTTCAAAGATGAGCTATTTCTCCTCCCCCAGCAACTATAATTTCTAACAGCTCCTGGTAAGGGGCAAGGCCAGAAGATTATCTATCCCATTTATTCTGGATCTTTGCTTGGGTTGATATTGTTCAGATCTTGTGTAGGTAGTAGCCCCAGGTGCTGAGAGTTCATGAGTATGATAGGCAGCCATGTCATGATCATAATACATTCATCAGCATTCCTCCCAATTCTCTAAGTATTCTATCCAGTGATGTTCCCTTAGTCTTGAGGGTAGTCCCATTTAGGCTTGAGAATTCTTAGTCCTTTAATTAGTTATACATCTCTCCACTAACTTCTGACCACATTGAGTACAGCCTCAGTGTTTGGGTGTAAAAAGATAATTAGAAAGCACTTTGAAAACATGACCATTCATCAAAATTATAGTATCAGGTTTTATCCTGGCACTTATGGCCTCTCCTGCCATAACCTTTTGAACCAGAATTACAGTACTGTGTATGAAATTCTTTCCTGTGGCACAACCCCAAATCTAATCTGAAAGCAACTGGTCATGCCAATACAGTCATACCAGCATTGCGTTAATGGTACAAGTTTCCTGGCATGTCAGTGTTGCGGCATTCAAGGTACCATGCTAAGTAAGACTATAAATGTCTTTTCTCCCGCCTCCCCAGTTTTCTAGACCCTTCTAGCTTCATTAAAACTAATCAACAAGGTATAACTTTTCCCATTAAGTTGGTACTGAATTCTCTTATTTCCTACAGTAAGCATGGGTGCTATCTTCAGCAATAAGGTCCTGCCATGCTTCTATGGTAAGTGACCAAAAACAACGGTAGTACCTCTTGTTGTCTGAGGCCAATGTGACCAATAAAACATAGGTAGGTATTCCATGCCTTGCATTACAATTTTTCATTTAATAACTTTTTTTCTGAGAGCACCATTGTCTACCATGCAGAGTAAATAAATTATTTATTTATTTCTGGTTTCCTGGTTTCTCCTTGTGCTTCAACTTAAGCACTCAAAATATTTGAAGTTAGTATTCACCTATGAAAGAGAACATATACTTTTGTATTTCTGGGCCTAAGTCACATTTTCAATATGATTTTATTCCATTTGTATCCCCTTTCCTGCAAATTTCATTTTTCTATACAGCTGAGTAACATGTCGATGTGTATATGTGCCACATTTTCCCCATTCATTCATCTGTTGACGAAACCTAGATGATTCAATTTTCTAGCTATTGTGACTATACCAGCTACAAATGTAGATGTGCAAATATCTCTGTAGTAGGATATTGAATAAATGTCCTTTATAGTTTAGCTAGGTCATATGAAAGTTCTGTTTCCAATTCTTTGGGAAACTTCCAGACTGATCTCCAAAGTAAAACTAAATAATGCACAAAGAGTCAATAATATAATGACAGAAAGAAGAGCCTGCAAGCTGCAATGATTCAGCAAAGTCCTGTGCTGCCCCATGGTTCACTGGTCCTTGTCAAGTGAGAGACCGTTTTCCATGGGCCTTGCCTCGTGGAGACCAATTTGATAGGCATTCATAGGCTGATCTAAGATGAGGCTGCATAGTTCCCAACACTATGTTTTTTTTTTCTTCCTGTGTGAGTACTATTCCAGACAAATTATTATTTGTTGTCAGGAAGAGAATATAGTGTTATTTGATGAAATCCAGGTCCCAACATATAGATTTACGTTTTCTGTGTTATAAGATTGAGTTGTTTTGCCGGGCGGTGGTGGCACATGCCTTAATCCCAGCAGAGGCAGAGGCAGTCGGATCTCTGTGAGTTCGAGGCCAGGCTGGACCGACAGTCTCTAAAACAATACAGAGAGACCCTGTCTCGTAAAAATCCAAGAAAAAAAAAGATTGAGTTGTTTTGCATAACTTATCTTTTCATGAAATCTCATACTGTAAAACGTTTAACTGGAAATAAATTATTCAACACTATATGCCTTAAAATATATATATATATATATTCAGTTGATATCAGTGAAGGATGGATTTGAGAGAGTAAAATATTGCAATTCAAACATAATATTTAATATCCAAGATGAATTGGTTCCCAGATGCCAAGATGCCTCTCTTTTCATCAATTGTTATTGCATGCATATAGTTACTTTCATATAAGCATATATCCTTATATAGAAATGATTGAGTCTATATAATGTTACTTGCATGTGTGTTTTCAGAACTGACCACTTGCCATTAGACAAAAAGAATTAGTGTGCTCTTCCTCAGGGAGGACCACCTCTCATTCCCAGTTTTATTCACTTGCCTATAGTTCTTTGAATGGTGATGTGACCTCATTAGCTTTTCCCCCGTGTATTATGGCACACCCATTTGTAACTTACTTATGATGTCTATTTCCTCTGCTAAATCTTACCTACAATCCACACATACATTTCCTCTTAATTTGTAGCCTTCCATATGTAATTAAAACCAACTTACCAGTTTACCTTGAAATTTACAGGAAGAACATTATAATTAAGGCTACATTTGATTTTTAACATAAGGATGGCTTTGTTATTTCAGAACTTTCATTTAACTGATAGACCAACAATTGAAAGTGTTCTCCTAATTTCAAGTGTAGTAACTTTATCATGTATCTTGACAATCTTTGCTTAGACACACTCCATTGATACACAATTGAGGCATGGTAATATTATGTTATGTATGAACAGCATAAATGGAAATAAATGTCAATACTCTATTCGTTCAATTTCTATCTTGATTATAACACACATGGACTGAGTTCATGTCTCAGAAGTTTGAGAAATTATATTACAATTAAATTAATAACAGTTTTATAACACAATTCTTTATTGATTTAGAAATTTCACATCATACAACCTAATTCCGCTGACCTCTCAGTCCCTCTATATCCTCCCCTCATGCATGCTGTATCTCCTCCAACCCCACCCCCTCAAATTAATTAAAAACAAAAATCCTCACCTCTCTTCTCCATTTTTCCAATACCTCTTTATTCATCCTAGTGGCATTGGGTGCTGTGGTGTGTTAGGAAATGTACTGTTTTGTCTAATCAGCCCCAGAATCAAATTGTTTATTTCAATGAGTCATTGGCCTAGTTCCAGGCCACTGGACCACCCATCTCAGGCTAGGGGCAGAACCAGTTCTCCTAGACCCTAGCCATCAGGGTTAGCTCTCCCACACAGATGGTGAAGGATGGGACCATCTCTCCTGAGCAGGGGTCCCAGCTCTCCCATAGAGGTCAGGATCAGCTCTTCTGCTACAGTGTCTAGTGAGGGGCAGAATCAGCCATCCCAGGTCCTGTGAGGGACAGGGCTGGCTCAGCATTGCCTTTGTTTTCAATATGAATGGTTCTTATGACCCCTGTGGCAACAAAGACCACGGACATCATCACAGACCCCAGTGGGAGCAGAAACACAGACCAAGACATGACCCTAAGTAGCAACTTAAGTCTGGATATCACCATGGCTCCAGTGGCAGTGCAGGCCATGCAGATCAGAATGGCCCAGGCAGCAACAAGGCCTTTGAACACCAACACAGTCTCATGTGGTTGTGTAGATTCCTGGCATCCACACAGCCCTTGTTGGTGACAGGAGCCACAGACATCAACTCAGACCCTGTCTGCTGCTGAGAATCAATAACATTTTAAAGTTGGCTTATGCTACCCTTTGTTAAAATATAGTCTCTCCCAATGGATAAGAAGCTGGATGTCTTCAGGAGGGAGTTAGTGGATGTTCATGGTATCCCTCTCTTCTGGAGCATTGCTGAGCAGTGGTCCCAAGTGGAGTCATTTGAGGCCCGACCTGATGATCTTTTGATCTCCACATATCCCAAATCTGGTAAGAACTTTTAATGTATTTGCTTTAGACAGTTAAATAATGATCCATATTCAGGAACATGCTTGCCTGCAGATACTTGTCTGATCTAACTGAAATTTTCTAACATGTTAAAGGATTATTGAGGCTAACTATGCCAGTATTGTCTCAGATTAGATCAATTCATGTCCATTTCTGAAATTCCAGCATGTACCCTATGAATGTATTTGAACACACAATCAATCAAACTTCCTACCTGATAAATAAACTCCTCTGTATTTCTACTTAATTCCCTAAGGGTAACTACAAACAAACTAGAATTTAAGATATTCTGATCTACCAAGATCACACAAATTTCACATGATTTCAGGGTCTTAGGAAGTGAAAAATACACCATAACACATTGTAGGTATGAAAAACAAGGCTGATTTGGTGTTTTTTAAATTTCTGCATTATTTTGTTTTAAGTAAATTTCCAAGTTGGCAGACAGAATATTGAGTTTAACTGTGACACTGATGTACATTTGTATCATTTCTAGTGTCTGTAAAAAATCCAAAAGTACAAACAATTCATGTTTCTTTAATTAAAGTGCTATATATGTAGATTAACCAAAGAATATATTTCAGTGCTTCAGTTACTAACACAGTAACAGTTAAGAAGGTTTTTTTTAACTTCCTATCATATTCTTTCAGTAGAACTGCCCCCAATCAAAGGATTTAGGCAATTGAATAGACCATGTTCTCACTTGATTTTGGTATATTTTCAAAGGACTGGTAAAACACTATATCATAGTTGTCAGAGTGAATCACTGAAATGAGTCCTATTGTTATATATAGCATTCTGATTATTAAAGCCAAAAGTTCTCTGTATTCTTTTTTCACACCTCTATTATATGTTGATCATCTTTATCTGGCTTTCTCTTCAATACTAAGCAATAACAATTTTTATATTTATAGGAAATACATGAACTGATAATTTCATCAAATTTGGCTATTTCCTCTGCCTAGTATATTCAAGAGCCAACACAAATGTATTTTAGAATATTATGACTTAAGTCAAACCATTTTGAACAAGGACTATTGAAAAGGATAAGGGAGTGTGCTATCATTACTTGTACACTGTTTCTTCTACACCTTTGATTTATCTCCATTTTAAGGCTTTTAAGTTAGATTTTATGAAATAAATATGCCTACATCTCCGATAGATAAGATTATAGTGGTTCATGCTTTGATCACAGCACTCTGGAGGCAATGGCAGATTGATCTCTGAGTTTGAGACCAGCCTGGTCTGCAGAATGAGTTTCAGGACAGGGACCATACAGGCTATACCCTCTCTTGAAAAATAAAAATAAAACCCAAATAAACACAAAAAGAGAGCTTTTCCCGAGAAGGAGTAGGAGAAAGAAAGGAAGTGGAAATAAAAACCACATTTTGTTTGCTTGTTCATTTGTTTCAGATATTACAAAACACTTCTGGCTCTCTTGACTTTCTCCGGTTATTTTCAACAGAGACATTTAATTTCTTCCATTTTCCCCTTAGGGACAACCTGGATCAGTGAAATATTGGATTTAATCTATAACAATGGGGATGCAGAGAAGTGTAAACGGGATGCAATCTACAAACGAGTGCCCTTCATGGAGCTTATCATTCCTGGATTGTCAAATGGTATTTGCCCTGAGTATTCCTTTCCATTATAGGATTATAAAGTCACCTGTGTTCTATGTATCAGTGAAGGAGTCAAGAAGAATATTAATACACAAAGAACAAGCACTATGAAATCATTGTCTAAAGGAGTTAGAATTTTGTTAGGCCCCATTTACTCAAAAATAATATCTACATATGGGAGATCTTAAGTCTCTTAATATATGGAAGTATTTCTCATTTAACTAGTGTGTCATATAAAGGAAATTCAACAAAATTATATGTGACTAGTTATTTTATATACGATATTCATATAATATAAAAGAATAGTATATATATAAACTCAAAGAAAAATATGGGGATACATTGCTTTGCATTATTTTAAATATGAAAAAATAGAAATGAATATCATGATATGATGCTATCATAGAGTTTGAACATGAGGGAGCTTAACAAGGACTTTGACATATTTTCATATTGTAAATAAGATAAAAGGATTAAGAGAGAATCTAGAAACTATCTCACAACTAGTTTTTCTGCTCCATAAAAATGACACAAATAAGGAACTGTTTCTATAGACAAATGTGAAGACCACTATACTATAGTACTTACAGAGTAAAATATGCCAGTTAGCTATGACTTTTAATAGTATGTATTCTTTGACATTTTAGAAACATAGGAATATGTTGAGCCTTATAGCCAACAAAACAGAAAAAAAGAAAAGCAACATCACCAAGCTACTAATGATTGGAATGTCTTAGAATAAATTGCAAGTAAACCATGTGACTGCACACTTATAATGCAGTTTGGTATTGTGTGTGCTTGCAGGTGTTGAACTGTTGAAAAACATGCAGTCTCCTCGACTGGTGAAAACTCATCTACCTGTTCAACTTCTTCCTTCCTCATTTTGGAAAAATGACTGCAAGGTAGCAAGTGAAAATTAATCTCTTTATTTTCATTTCTTTTTGTTCATTTTTAAAAAATTATGACAAGGAACCAAAGGCTTCAAATTTATTTTTCTAAGATTATTGATCATTTGATTTTTAAACATTTATTTTAATGTTTATTTTTAGAACTTATACTTGAACACTGTAATTTACAACATTTGTTCTCTAATTTTCCCTCAAATTCATGACCTGTTGGGTTTTTTTATATAATAGAATATGATTACATCATTTCCACCCTCTAACACAACCCACATACTTCTCCCTCTTGCTGTCATTTAAATTCATGGCTTTTCCCTTTTAATTGGTGACATATATGTGTGTATAACATTTATATATGCATATATATGATATTTATATCAACATATATGTGTGCGTACATACATGTATGTGTTTATGTATATATTCTTCAACATATACAACCTGCTAAGTCTGTATAATGTTACTGGTATGCATATACATTTTTAACTACAAAATAAGGTATTATGAAGTTAGAGGAGTCATTGCAAAACAATGGAATAGTAGTTATAGTTAAGGGTCACCATGACAATACTGGACACAAGTTATGAAGAAAGGATTTGATACTATGGGTGAATTACTGTCAAATTGTCTCTCATTCTTTTTTTTTTTTACTTTTTTACTTTGTGATTTTTTTATTTAGGAACAATTTTATTTTACATATCACTTCCAGTTTCCTCTCCCTCCCTTCCTCCCATGCTCTCACTGATCGCCTCATCCATCCCCACATCCACTCCCCAGGGAGAGTGAAGCACTGTCATATCATTTGGGGGAGAGCCTAGACCCTTTCCTGTGTATTTAGGCTGAGAGAGTATCGCTCCCTAGGAAATTGATTCCCAAAGTCCATTTGTGCATTAGGGATGAATACTGGTTTCACTGTCAGAGGTCTCATAAACTGCCTAGTCCTCCTAACTGACACACACGTTCAGAAGGCTTGGTTCAGTCCAAATCTGGTTCTCCAGTTTTATGACTGGGGTCCCTGTGCTCCCACTTGGTCAGGTCAACTGTTTCCTTCTTTCTATTTTTAAGATAAAATATTTTATTTATTTATTTTTGTTTAAATTAGAAAGAAGACTGCTTCATATGTCAATCCCAGCTTCCTCTCCCTCCCTTTCTCCCCTGTCCCTACCAGTTCCACCAAACCCCCACCCAACCCCCATTTATACTCTCCAGGGAGGGGGATCTCCAAAGTCTGTCATATCATCCGGGGCAGGGCATAGGCCCTTCCCCATGTGTTCAGGCTGAGAGAGCATCCCTCCATGTGGAATGGCCTCCTAAAGTCCATTCGTATGCCAGGGATAAATACTGATCTAGTACCCAAGGACCCAAAGAATGCTGAGGTCTCTTTACAGGGTGTCTGGATAAGTCCCATGCTAGTCTGTCAGCCATCAGTCTGGGGTCCATGAGCTCCCCCTTATTCAGGCCATCTGTTTCTGTGGGTTTCTCCAGCCTGGTCTTGAGCCCTTTGCTCATCAATCCTCCCTCTCTGCAACTGGTTTCCAGGAGTTCAGTTCAGTGTTCAGCCTCTGTTTCCATCAGCCACTGGATGAAGGCTCTAGGATGGTATACAAAGTAGTTGTCAATCTCATTATCAGGGAAGGACATTTAAGGTAGCCTCTCCACTATTTCTTAGATTGCCAGTTGGTGTCATCCTTGCAGATCTCTGGAAATCTCACTAGTGCCAGATCTCTCCTCAAACCTATTATGACTCCCTCTATTGTGGTATGTCTCATCTTGCTCTCTATTCTTTCCCTGACTTAAACTTCCTGCTCCCCCATGTCTTCCTCTCCCCCTCTCCAATATCTTTCTCTTTCTCCCTGCTCTCTCTCCCCTCCCCCTGGAACAGATTCATTGAAATATATAAATTGACAGTTATATGTAATTCTATAAATGAATCAATCAATATTTATAAACAGATATTATTTGCAGATGATAAGTCTGGAAGCAATTCAGTATAATGTATAAATACTATTGTACTAATTATAGATGATATATAATTATACAGATTAATACATTTTATGATTGTATTGCAGTAAGTTTTTTCAAGCATAACATTTGGGGAGAAAAGTACAAGTACACTAAGTAAATAACCTGATGATTATTTAGGAAATGAGCATACATATGAAACCCAGTCAAAGCATTGCATCACCCCCAAAATTGAGTTCCAACTTTTGTGTTTTCACCATAAGTAACTTTGCTTATTTTCTCTGTAATTATAAACTGTGTCTAATGTACCATTTGCCATTGTCTCTCAAGACACATGTGAAAACTATTCCTATTGTATAAGTTTATGTGTTTTGTTGTGTTACAAAGAGCAGCCAACAAGTTCTCTATACATGCAATTTTCAGGGTTTTTTTCAGATATTTTGGTATCACAAATTGTGTGAATGAAGACCAAAAGTCCAAATTTTAACAAGAACACAATTAAATGTTATTCATATTAAAGTCTGAAGACCAGTGGTGGTGCACACTGGTAAGATTTGCTGAAGGAAGCAGAGGCAGGAGGATCACGAGACCAATAACATACAGTATCATATACATATGACCTCTTCACAGCTTATTTATGAATATACTATTGATAGATGGTTGAGTGGCTGCCTGTTTAGAGCAATAGAAATAGTGTTGCTGTGTATATTTCTGTCTTTTCATGTGTGTATGCACATTTTCTTGGCTGCATATCTAAGGATAAAATTATTAAAACTTAACATGCTCACTTATTTAGTAGATATTTTAAAATAGTATTTGAAGTGTTGATGAGCAGTGTTCTAAATTGCTTAATGTCTAAAATAACATTAAATATAGGCAAACGGTTTCATTTTATTCACATCAGTGGATACTGAGGGGATATTTTCTGCTTTCTCATTGACTAATTAGGTTAGGACTTTTTAAATGCATATCCTCACTGAGTTATCTCTTATTTTGCCTCATTTTATATAATGGATTCCTTCTTCGCAATACATACACACAAAGAGAGAGAGAGAGAGAGAGAGAGAGAGAGAGAGAGAGAGAGAGAGAGAGAGAGAGAGAGAGAAGGAGATATAGTATGCTTTTAGAAGTTTGTGGAGACATCCTCAAATCATCCTCTCTATACTAAAGTAAGTCAGATACATTTTGCAAAAAGGCTATGGATGTTATTGCTAGATGCTTTGGGCTAATTGCCGTAGTCAACTGATACGTAGTAAAGAAAACTAGTTCTGTTTACAGGGTTTAATGTTTTCCTCAATGAGCTTTAAGCAAACTATACTACATCTCTTAGAAAACCTCCTTCAGTATGCTCCCTACCCTCATACATTTCCTAGCTTATTAAGGCCACTGTCTTTAACTTGGGAATATATAAGTTCCTGTTTTGTTCATCAGTTGGGTTAGAAAGAAAATATAATCATAGTCGCATGAAGATCTCTTCATTTTCCTAGGAGACATGTTCACTCCATGCATAGCTAAGCTTTAAACATGTTAAATTTTCCTTTCTAGGAGGGTGAACCCCAGTGAATACGGACTTCGCAAAAGAAATTCCTCGGGTTCATGGCAGATCTCTCATAATCTCTCTTTCATTCTCTCTCTCTCTTTCTCTCCCTCTCTCTCTCTCTCTCTCTCTCTCTCTTTCTCTCTCTCTCTGTGTGTGTGTGTGTGCATGTGTATGTTTGTGTGTGTGTGTGTATGTGTGTCTGTCTGTCTGCCTGTCTTTCTTTCTCTGCCCCTGCCCTTTTTTCCTACTTCCAAGGAGGTCAGAAGACAACTTGTTGGACTAAGTTATCTCTGTCATCATGCGGATTCTGGGGATAAAAATTAAGTCATCAGTTTTAACTATAAGTGTCTTCACTATTTGAGCTATCTTGTCATCCCCACAGCAATTGTCATTGAACAATACTTTTTCATTCATGCAGACCTTAAAATTTGATACATAAAAATTAATCCCATGTTACATGGCTTTGGTTTTGGACATAAGGGATTTTAATCTTTTCCAGCTATATATTTTCTTAATAATGGTTTTTCTTCAATGGAAATTTAGAGATTTTTCAGCTTAAAGTGCTTTATTTAATTTTATTCATTTTGGTATTTCACAATTCCATACTTGTAGATATGCATCCTGATTATTATCATTCCTACCCTTTCTTGTCTTTCTCCTATCCCTTTGTATAGGTTTAATTGATTTTAATTATCAATTTAAATATGCTATACATATAAATGTTATAAGTTTAAGAATATATAAGTTACTTGATTAATTTAATATTTAATGTAATTCTTTTTTCATGTTTTAAAATTGAAAGTAGATGCTTCTCTCAAAGAATACATCTCCATCAAAGATTCCCCTCCCTCCATTCCTCCTAGGCCCCCTTCACCCCTCCTTTTTTCTAGATCCACTCCCCCTCCAGTTCATCCCAGGAAAGAGCAGCACTCCAAGAAACAACAGCCAAACAGGACAAAACATGATAAAATAGAAAAGGCAAAAGTCCTCATACCATGTCTAGACAAAGCAACCTAATAAAGGAAAGGAGTCCCAATAGCAGGCAAAAGAGTCAGAGACTCACTGACTCCCACAATTAGAGTCCTACAAAACACCCCAAGCTAACAGCCACAGAATACTTGCAGAGAACCTGATGCAGACCCATGAAGGTTCTTTGCTTACTACCTCAGTCTTTGTGAGCCCATTTGAGCCCTGTTTATTTGATTCAGCAGGTCATGTTATCCTGGTGTCCTTCATCCCCTCTAACTCCTACAACCAGTCTTTCCTTCTGCTCTTCCATGGAATCCTGATATTCCATGACACCCAATGAACACTTCCAACTTAGACTCTTTCTGTGTGTAATGTATGCTGCTGGGAGAAGCCTCCCTGATGACAACTGGACAAGGAACCCATCTATGAGTATAGAAATATCACTAGGTATCATTTATTTTATTTATTATTTTGCCACTCATATTTGCTTCTGTCCTAGGTCTCTAGTCTATCTGGTCTTGTGTTCCTGACCATTCAGGCAGTGTGGGCATGGGCTCCCTCTCAAGTCATGGGCCTCAAGTTAAACCAAATGTTGGTGCGCATGAATTCTGTGCCACCATTGCCCCAATACATCCTGCAGGCAGGACAAATTGTAGATACAGGGTTTTGTGACTGGATTGGTGTCCAGGTTTCCCTTTCTTTAGCCTGAAGAGTACCTTCTCACACCAAAGAGACTAGAATGTAGTGGTAGTGGTGAATGCTATAGTTCTTAGTGTAATTATTTTTCATGTTTCAAGAGATAATCTTTCAAAGGTTAAATAGAATGCAGATGTGTCAGAAATGGGAGATGAGGTTCTGAGCATTAAAACAATATATAGTTGTGGGGTATAATTACAAAAATATCATTATCAGGAACTATAAAGGATAAATAAACAACCTGATAATGTAAACAATAGTTAAAAACTATTTAATTACAAAAATAAATGCCAAATTTCCACTTTCTCTACAGATGGTCTATGTGGCACGGAATGCCAAAGATGTGGCTGTTTCTTACTATTATTTCTACAAAATGGCAAAAATGCACCCAGAGCCTGGCACCTGGGAGGAGTTCCTTGATAAATTCATGACTGGACAAGGTGAGTCCAACTGTTCCTTTAATTATGATTTCAAAACTAATAGGTTTTTTTTCAGGGCAACATAAAGTTTAACATCTAAATCTTAGGTTCATTATAAATTAATACTTACGAAGCTATGCACTAATACATTAGGGAGACTAAAGAGAAAGAATACAAGTCCCTTTCTTCTTTGAGGGAACTTTTGGATAATTTGTGGATAGTATGTTTCTGGTCCTGGGTTTCATCATTTCATTAGTGATAAATAACTGCTGGCAATTTTGAAAGTGTTTTCAAATCTCAATGTCTATGCTAGATTATTTTAATAGTGTGTCCATTCTTTGGAGTCTTTTCTTTATCATTCAAAACTCCTGAGTGACTGTCTCTTTAGAGTCTGTTGTTTTGCAAACACACTGTCTTTTTCATATTCATGACAGTAATTGTTGGAAAAATTCTCAGTAAACATATTCCTGTATAAACAACCTCTTGGTAGCAGATGTCTGTAGGTGAGATCTAGCATAGACTTAACACCTCTCATCACTTGAACTTTTATTTGTTCATGGTGTCAATGTTACTGTCCCTGCCTAAGCCCAAAGGCATCTCAGAATGGAATTCACTCTATTCTTCCACAGGGCTTTTGTGACTCCCTCTTATGTAATCTCATTTATTTACTATTCACTCTCCTGTGAACTTCCACATCACGTACTGTTTGAAACACTCATAGTCTGCAATCTTAATTTTGTGGTCTTAGTTATATTTATCAAATGATATAGTACCATAAAATATCATATTGAGTGGCTTAGGTGACAGAAATATATATATATATATATATATATATATATATATATATATATATATATATAATCATTTTAGAATCTACAAATCCAATGAGAAAGTGCCTTTTCCCTTAAACAGTGCAGGGCTGTATCTTCACATTGTTCTCTCTATAGCCTTCCATCTTGGTGGGTCTGTCTTAGCTATTTTCTGTGTAAGGGCATTGGTTGTATCAAGAACTAATTTTGCTATTTCTGTAGGGATCTTTTCTCTAAGCACAGGTAGGTGTTTCAGAATATGGATTTTTGGGAAGACATTATTGACCTTGTATAAGAATCACTTTTCCTTTTGAAAGTAGATATCAAATTCAGTAAGTGGTTACCTCATATACTTTTTAAAATTTTTTGACATAGTTATTATTTTTTACTTAGAAACAATCTTATTTTACTCATCAAACCCAGTTCCCTGTACCTCCTATCATCCCTTGCCCCCTACTGACCCCCCCATCCCACTCCCAATTTACTCCCCAGGGAGGGTGAGACCTTCCATCAGGGATCATCAAAGTCTGTCATATCATTATGCTTACAGACCCTTTTCTTGAACTACAGAAATCACTGTATATGGACAGATAATCATGACTTTAAAGAGACATTTAGCTATTTTCTATTTCATGTAAATAGTTTTTAATTTTACATTTTATCTTTAACTTTAGTGAGTTTTGGCTCCTGGTATGATCATGTGAAGGGCTGGTGGGAGAAAAGAAAAGATTACCGTATCCTTTATCTGTTTTATGAAGATATGAAAGAAGTAAGGATAAATTTAAGGTTATATTTTAGGAAACACAAGATTTGATTTATTTGTCTTGTACTCTCAGTTTTTTTAGTCTATAAACTAGGCTAATTTATTTTAACTCTACTTTTGGTGTACAGTATTAATTAATTATTACTCCCCCATCTTACTACTATTTTCCATTCAAGGACAATAATATCTTTGAAATAAAAAATCTGTGTATTACCACTCATGTCTTTAAATAATGTAGTTGCTTCTTAAAAAGAATATATAAATATAATTGCTTGAGTCTTGCCTTATGAATTAAAAGTAGCATAAAATTCCAAGTATCTCTTCTACTAGTTAAGCTTAAACAGAAGTTTATTGAATGTATTCTATTCTTTGTGATCAAATGTAACCGAAATAATTCTTTTCCCCTTTAACATTTCAGGATCCACAGTGTGAAATTCAAAAATTATTGAAGTTTCTAGAGAAAGACATGCCAGAAGAAATTGTAAATAAAATCATCTACCATAGCTCTTTCAATGTAATGAAGGAGAATCCTAATGCAAATTACACCACTATGATGAAAGAGGAAATGGACCATTCTGTGTCTCCATTCATGAGAAAAGGTGAGAAGAGTACAAACTCATTTCTGTATAGTTTCTGGTCACAACATGGAAAATATAAATAATCACATTAATAATGCTTAAGAGAGAAAAACTGACAAGTAGAGGAAACAATAGGTTTAGAAGAAGTACTGTGGAATATTCTGCATTATTTTTGTGAGATGTAGTGAGACTTATAATGGGAAATGTTTGCGCAGTGTCTTGTGCACCAGTGTTATCATTATATCCTCAGTATTGAACATAATATTTAGCAACTTATATATACTGGATATAGATGATATATATATATATTTAATTTTGTACATGTGTTCATATATGTCTGTGTGTATGAGTAGAAAATAGCAACAGAGAGATGATAGATAATAGATAATATTGCATATGTAACAATCAGATTTTCTATAAAACTTCCACAATCCTGAGGCATCAGTAATTTAATCACATTGCTTAAGCACAAGCCACGTTTTGCTAGGTGAAGGTCACTGTGGCTCCTTCAGTTATTTTTTTTTTTTTTTTGGTTTCCCTGGCCTCAGCTCTTTTTGTATCTCTTTTTAAAGCCAAAGCCAAAAGCAGGGCCTGCATGTGACCTGCATTAGATCATGTGTTAGATTATGGAAACTGGCCTTGTATTTTAAACTTTCATTTTAGAGACTGTGTGCATCAAACATGTTATACTTCCACTGTCCAAAGCATAAAAAGCTAAGTTTGAAGTTACTGGATGAGAAAATCACACAACACAAGATGAGTATAAGTGGAAAACATTCTTGTTGTAGAGAAGATTTATTAGCAGTAATAAAAGTTAGGAAAGTTCTTGAGATAAAGAAATTTTGGTGAACATCTAGAAAGAAACAATCAAGACTCATTATTATTAGAATTTTTATAGATTCTAAACAACTTTTGTCAGGTAAGGAGTAATGCTATCAGTAGGCTTTACTGTAATAACTCAAAGTATGATTTTGTTGCTCGGGAACAAATGTGAAGACATTTTTAATTGTTACAATTAGGAACCAGTTATTGGTGTCCAGATGACCTGCAAGGTAGATGAAAGAATCCCCTTTCAAAACCAAGGAATATTCTGAATCAAATGTCTCTAGTTGATATGAAAAACTAGGTTTCTAACTGTGTCCTTTATGTTACTGGGGAATTTTCTGTGAAAACTATAATTTAAACAAATATCCTTTTTGTATGGTGTGTCATATCTGTTCATAAGATATTTAAAGGCTCAGCATATATACGTGTGTGTGTGTGTGTGTGTGTGTGTGTGTGTGTGTGTACTCAGCAAGTATATGTAAGTAAATGCGTTTACTTACATTTACCCTGGTAATTTCCAATCTTGCTTGTTGTTAAATCTTTTCACATAAGTTGTCATTTTATCCTGTAAACTAAAGCTTTAAAATGAGTGAGTATCCCCTTTGCTCTGGTTACCAGGGTACTGACAGCCCAAGAATTAGTATTGAGATTATCAGGTGGCATTTCCTCCACTAGTCTTTCTTTAAGATACTTTAAAATTATTATTATTATATTTACATAAAATACTTTAAAAAATCTATAGAAGTTGAAAGGCTAAGGAGGTTTAGGCCTAGGAGTTAGATATGGCTGGGATTGAAGATTATAATTATGATGCATATCAAAAGTTAAAAAAAATATATATACACATTCAAATTGATAATTCAGATTACTATTAGACAGAAATTTAATAGTGATCCCAAACTTTTTTCACTGTGTTTTTTACAGGCATTTCAGGTGATTGGAAGAATCAGTTCACTGTAGCCCAGTATGAGAAATTTGAAGAAGATTATGTGAAGAAAATGAAAGAGTCGACACTTAAGTTTAGATCAGAGATCTAGGGGGTGTCTCCTTCATCTGGCACTAAAATTAGAGGGGAAAAAAGCTCATTCATGGATTAGTGAAGTATAATGTTGTATATGAATTTTCTGTATTTACATGGTTTACAGACCAAACTTACCGATAATTCTCTCCTAACTGTCTTCCTTACAGACAGGTTGATACAGTAGTTTTCACCTCACTTTCTGTTAACAAAAGAATACAATTTTAAGAGACCTTATAACATGGCATGTTTCTGATTTCAGTTACTTATAGCTTCCTGATGCTCTGCACATGGTCTTATGTCTCTTGGGACATAGGTTTCCAAATGAGGTTGTTTCTCTCCATGGTTAGGACACCCCCTAGACAAACGCTACAGTTGATTAAGTCTAATTCTTCAATTTAATCTGTTATTTATATATTAAGACATCATGTCTTTAATATTGCCAAATTATTCAAATCTTTCATGCTTGGATATCCTATTTCACCTTATGGTTAGTTTAGAAACATTACATTTAAATGAATGAATTAGTAGAACATATTTCATAGGATTTAAAGCAAGGAAAATTAGAGAGCTAATTATTTTTATTCTTCATGTCATATGCTGAAGCTATTGTGAAACTTATTGCAGAAAATACTGAGGTTTGTTCAAAATCTAGATGGCTACTCTACCATCATTTATGAGATGAAGACTGTACAATTAATTACTTTCCATAGCCTTCCTTGTTCCTGACTGGCTTTTGGATCACATTAGGGACATTTTGCTATTGTTCTGTCTGAAACTAACCATTCCTAAGTGAGATAAATACTCACTTTTTAATTATCAAGAGATAAGAATTTAAGACACTTTAAGATTTGTCTCCAGGAACTAATGCTTAGTGAAGAAGGGAAAATGAAAGGTAGATGAACAAAGTACTGTATGATTCTATTCAATACATAATGCTATTTACATAAGAGAGAGAAAGAAACAAGCAAATATGTCAGGAAGATATTGGAGAGAAAGAGAAGCCAAGTCATCAGTGGACCATGAAGAGAGGTGGAACTAGAGGTATTATTCCAATGAGGCAGTCAGAAACACCCTGATGTGAGAGCCCTACAAAGTCACATGAGACCATGGTGATGACTGGGTTCCTGTTGATGTCCGTGGCCTGTAGTATCACTGAAGGTTATGAGGATGCCTGGGATTTATACTGCAGCTGGAAACCATCTTGATACCTAACGGCCACCTTGCGCTGACTCTACCAGCCCCCACACGGCCTTGGTAAAGTTAGCCCTGACAGCATCATGCAGGAGAGCTAACCCTGCCCCTTGCCGGGGCAGCACAGTTGAGCTGACCATGCTGGTGGGGGTGTGGGAGAACCAGCTCATAAGTTACTGCTGCAGAGGAGCTGACCCTGCTCTTTACTGGGGCAACACTGGAGATCTGGACCCACCCCTTGCTGGCTCATGCATATGGGAGAGCTGGCCCATCCTTTGGCCAGGCGGTGAGGGGAAAAAAACCAATAAATTCATATTTAGCTTACAAAAATAAACAAACAATTAAAAATAAATAAAGTAACAAAACCTATACTGAAAAAAAGAAATATTATTCTGTCCCCAATCAAAGGCACCAGAATTTAATGAAGAACCTGAAGGAACATAGGAGAAGCTGTAAACAGCAACCTGGGCAATATTGAAGTTGGATAAGCTAGTCTGTAATATATTAATATCCTGATACTATTAGTGTGCCATAGGTTTATGGATGTTACTATTGGAGAAATGTATTATTTTAAGTTATAATTTTATATTGTTCTATGTTGATTATCTTAATTTCACTATTATGTTAAATGAATGTCTTACTAATCTTAAATATTCTAAAGTTAAAATAATTTTAAGTAAACACCAGTAATGACTGTCTAACATAAATCTTACCGAAAAAATCAATTATGGATTAATTTAAAATGCCAGGCAGTGGCAGGACACACCTTTAATCCCCCCAGCACTCTGGAGGTAGAGGCATGCACATCTCTGTGAGTTCAAGGCCAGTCTGATTTACAGAGTTACACAGATTTACAAAGCTGTCTCAAAAAAACAAAAACAACAAAAAACACAGGAAAATCAGAAAACAAACAAACAAAAATGTCCCTAAGGCTTTATATTGGTAAATGCTGAAATGAATACACAAAACTAAAGACATCAGTTAATTACTGGGTACTTACCTGGGTACAAGGCTTGACAGCACACAGTGGGTGATAGAATGGTGAATAGACATTGCTTCTCCTTACCACTGTTATAATAATCCAGAAAGAAATACTATTGAGGAACCCACTTCATGGAATGTCACAGCAATGGGTGCATGCTAATAAAATTCATTGGCTTTATCATATTTTCCATTCTCTGAAGTAGATGGTTTGCTAAAATGGTGGAATGGTCTTTTAAAGACTTAATTACCTGTCAGTTAAGGGAACAATGGCTTGCAGAGTTGAAACAAGTTTCCAATGAAGTGTGCATATTTACTTCAAATTGGCATCTGAGTATTTTGGAGAATTTATCCTGTAACCAGGATTCATAGATTCTGGAGTCACAAAGCAGATATAGGAAAAGTACTACTCACTGTTGTTCCCAACAACTCCCAAACAAAGGTTCTTTTCCTGCTTTTTTTCCTTGAGATGTATTCATAATCCTCTCTAGTTGACGCTATCACATTGATCTATGTTTCTCAAGATTTGTTCCTTACTTTTTCTTACATATCTATGTCCCCAAAATGCTCATCTGCTCTACATCCCCTTTTGTGATATGACTAGAGGTACTGGACAGAAGAATATTTTTAATATGTATTTCATTAATATTATCATCATATACATATGTGTGAGTGCCTGCATGTACATATGTACAGTATCAGTGAGCCTAACGTTCATGTAGACCAGAAGAGGGTATCAGATCCCCTAGAACTGGAGTTGTAGAGGGTTGTTAGTCACTCCAGTAACTGGCAACCAAACACAGGTCTTCTGAGAGAGCAGCAATGGCCCTTAATACTTATCCATCAGCTCTAAATATACTTGCCCAACACTGAGTTTTTGAGGCTAAATTCTTTCATGAAGAATGTATAATAGCTTAAGTCCAGAGTTGGTCCTGTGTTCCTTAGCTGCAAACATAGGTTCACAGGACTGACTATTTTCTCTAAAACTGGATTTCATCTTCTTCACTGTGCTACAGAATTCCAGGAGAGGTTTTCAAAGGTGTTTAAATATAAGAAAATAATGAAGTGTCTAATGTAGCTGAAACTTGTATTTCCTGCACTAAGTGCCTACTTACTGATATTTTGCAAAATAAAAATTAGTTAGTTTTGCTGTGATTTATGATACAGAAGAGTGAAATATGTTACTAAACATGTTTGTATTGGAAAGTGGACATTATGTCAAACAGGGATAAGAATTACCCAGTTATGACATCAGACTTTCTGATACCTCATTGGGATATCCATATTGCATTATTTTCCATGTCTATTATTCTTCTTAAGAAAACCATCAGAGTTCTAAGTGGTCATTTAAAGAAGAGAGAATAGGAAATTGTATGTGAAAATCTGTCCTTCAAGTGTATCATTCACTATACTTGTACTTCTTGCATTGTGAATATAAGCCTGCTACAGACAGCACTAATGTTTGTCTGGGTTGCTCAGCTCTCTGTAGACAATCACCATATGCTGTAGGCATCTATAAACACAGACAGAAAACCATTGCCATGGCTTTTATTGACTGGACCCAGTGATTCAGTAGTACCCTCATCAGAATAAGGTTCTGAGGTGCTTATGAATCAGTACAGCATAGGTTTCCATATCATGAGATAATAAAATAATGCCAGTTCTGCTTTAAGAACTCATTACCCACATCAAGATGGAAGACTAGGCTCAGACAGCACTAAATTCTCCACTTCCCACATGAAGTGACAATTGAGAGTGGGTAACTCTTGGGTCAGATGGTTTTTCCATTGATCTGAATACTGAATATTTTAGGCTGTGTGGCTATGTCATTCCTCCTACAATTAGTCAGCTGTGTCATAATATAGCAGCATTACACATTATATAGAGATAGTGTGGCTTGGTTCTAATAAAAAATGTGTTTCTAGTCTGAATTTTGAAAAAACAAAACAAAACAATACTCATTGTCCAGTGTAACAGTAAGCATGTCAACATTTTATATTTTTCAGTTTTCTTGCCCACATACTAGTTCTATGGGTTCCTCAAGATATCTGTCATCCTGATTAAATTTGTTAACACTGAGAAAATTATTATAACCCTTGCATCCCACTATCAGAAGCATATTTCTTTCTTTCAATGTTGGACATTGAGTTTCTAGGTTCACGTACCATATTTGGGTGAAAACATACTTACCAACTTCGCTTACACACTAGGGGGCAAACTTTCACTGTACCATGACTGTTTGAGTGGAGACTGATTTGCAGTGTTTAGGTTGTGATGCATTCCTGTCTAGACTGTGCTGAAGATTTTTGGTCTTTGGCTGGAAAGTGGCAGCTTGTTACATTTGTTGTGTTTCTCAGCATCTACAAAGTACATGTGGCTCATGACTTCAGCTTTAAACTTTTCCAGTATCCATTCCAGTAAGGTATATCATGAAGCAATACTATGCCAATCTCAAAATATTGAAGGGAATATCTTTTGCTCTCTTCTTTCTCCTCCTCCTTGTCTCTCCTCTCCCCCTCTCTCCATCTCTCTTTTCTCTCACTGGTGTCCACTGCGTGAATATTTATCTGACTAAAAAGTCACTAGTATTAATTTTTGGAGATGGACACACACACACACACACACACACACACACACACACACATTTGATGAGACCATTATGTCCATTTAGCAAAATGACATCAGCAGCTTCTTCTCTAGTGCTCATGTTGATCTGGCTTACAGTACCAGATATAAATCCTCTTTGTTGAGCAGGCCTCAAATTCAAACAGAGAGTGTTCCATTCTTCTCCATTTAGTCATTCTTCTTTTATGCCACTGGGTAATTTTTCCTGCTCTGTCTTTACAGTAGTAACCAATGTCCACAGATGACTCAAATATTTGACAATTTTTCCTTAGCAGTAGCCAGTAGGAAAGCTAGCCAGGAGAGAAACATCTATCCCAGTTCTGGTTTGTTTTCTCTATGACCTGCATGCGATCAGGATTAGGGTCTTACCATTTATTTGTGGTGAACAATGAACAGGAGTGGCAAATTGTTTGGGAAGCATCAGGTGTCTCCCTTAG